AGCATGCCAACTTGACACAGAAATTCTGTAGTGAGTGAGGCAGAGTTAAAACTTCACTCACTGGTGATGTTTGGGAGTGCTAATTAGGAGAGAGGCTGGTAAACAGACCTGGGGGGGGGGGAGGACTACTGCTCTTGGAATCCTCCAACTTATAATATTAAATATTCCTGTTGCATATTTACTTTCATAGAAATTTAGGAGCATTTTCTTGTTCAGAAATTTTAATCAACTCTAAGGGCCTTTACAGACTGCCAGAAATAGTGCAAATTGAGGCCACTTTAACTGTCCTGGCTCAGTGCTAAGGAATCATGGGAACTGTAGTTTATTGTGGCACCAGAGCTTTCTGGCAGAGAAGGCTCAATGTCAGAAAAAAATACAATTCCCATGATTCCCTAGCACTGAGCCAAGATAGTTAAAGTGGCCTCAATTTGCACCATTTCTGGCAGTCTGTAAAAGCCCTAACTTACCTAATGTTTCACTTGGTGGTGATAAAATCCCTTGTGCTATCATTTTAGTATTGTAAATTTGTTATTCCTAAGTCATATATACAAAGGGCTATCGTAAAGTTTGAATTATCACCTTAAAAAAAATTGACAAAAAGTTTGTTTTGATTTGTAGTTGTTAGCCTCTCTCCACGTAGTCACCATCCAGTCTGCAGATTGCGCCTTAAACCACGCTTCCACTTCATGAAAGTGTTGTCAAGTCAGTGACCCCACAATGGATTTTTCATTTTTGGAAAAAGAAAAAGTCACTTGGTGATGATCACACTGACAAAATTTCATCAATATACCATAATAACTTCCTGGTGATGATTATTACTTTACAATACCCCCTCGTATTTGCCAAGGATCAGGAGTCAGAAAGTAGAAGGGTAGAGGAGCTGGAGTAAAAAAATTTGACTTACTGACTCCCCAGCCACGGTTGCTGCACTAGTTTTCATTCTGATCCAGGAGAGGTCTATGTTCTTACATCAAGTTAGTGAGTACATAGGCTTCCTCACTAATTTCCTGAATTAGTGAGTACACAAGCTTCTAAATATTTTCTAGAAATTATCTACTGATCTGCATTCCAAGCTGAATCTT